AGAATGTGGAGACCAGTACTTCATTTACACACGAGACATCTCGATGGAGAGAATCTGAGGCTGGCCAAAGGGACCGTTGGCAGTCTAATCTAGAAGGGAGCTATCCCCAAGGAACCTCTGTAGGAACCCTTGCAGAGAAAGAGTCAACATGGATATTCACCATCCACAAGAGGCCCCAGACCATAAGACTTTCCGTCCTCCCTGATACCCATAACCAAAAGATGACAGAAGTTCTAACGGAGGTGCCTAATGCATAGGTGGGGATTTAACAGCAAACACCTCAAGACTGAAAGGCCTGGGAAATGTCCCAGGCACTAGCTGACAAAGGAGAAGGCACAGAATATAAGCATCTTAATAACTAACAATGGATCAAAGCCCAGGGATTTTTTCCTGGATCATGCAAATCTTGAGGTTCAGTGCTTTCCTAAGGGAAGGAAGAGGCCTACTCCTCCCTAGAAAGAATTGAAATTGAATTTCTTACCCACCCTAACTGACCTGGATCAACCCAGATATAATTGGATTTGATTTTTAAAAAAAGAAAGAAAGAAACATAATGTTAGTTGCACGTAAGTGTTGTAGAGCTATTAATAGAGGTCACGTAGGTATGTGTACAGCTCCTCATCCAATGTCTGGCACTTAGTGGAAACTTAACAGATGCTAGCTCCCTCTTGGAACATTTTTTTTTACTGACAAGAAAATTCTGGGATAGTCAAGGTTGCTGACCTTGGGAATGATGGAAGAAGGCCCTTGCTCAAAATAGTAACCTCATTGGGAGGATCGTTTGAGCCCAGCAGTTCAAGGCTGCAGTGAGCTATGATTGCACGTAACACTGCACTACAGCCTGGGCATTGGAATGAGACTCCATCTCTAAAAATTAAAAAAACAAAACAAAGTGTTGCAAGATAAAAGAATTCAAGTATTTTGGCCTCATTTACTTTAGTCTCTGCTTCTTTACTTCTCTATAGCCAGTTTATTGCTGCCCCAAAACTGCTCCAGCTGCTGTCTTTTTATTCCTTAAGACATTACGGAAATACCCATCTCTCTTTTCTTTCATTGCATCCATCTGTCTTCCTGCCTGGAATATTCGCCCTTCTTTCTATTCCTCTAAGTCCTACCCATTCTCCAAGTAATCACCTCCTATCTTTATTCCTCTGCAAAGATTTTCCAGTGCCCATCAATATACAATGCAAAATGCAGTGCTTGTGCTTAATAGAGGCTCCATTCATTCAGACATGCTTCTTGTTCAACTAGTCATTCATTCAACAAATTTTTTTTGTCTGCCATAGTCCAAGCTCCATGAGAGCTGAGATATTTTTGCCTACTTTGCTGACTACTATATGCTTAGTGCCTGTGTTAGTGGTTTCCGTTTAGATGTTGATTGAATGGATGCATGCTGAGGGTTCTTGTTAGTAATCGTGATGTTGCCCTGTTGCTGATAATAGCACGTGTTTCTTCTCCATGACTCCTAAATGACAATATCCCACAAAGTTCTGTTCTAGATGTTTTTCTCTCCATCCCCTCTCCAGTGGCAATGCCATCTACTCCTGCAGCTTCAGACATCGCCTCTGCGCAGATGAATTTCTCTGATTAAGGACAACTTTTTCTCTTTCCAGGGGAAATGATAAAGATAAGTTTTTATTTCTGTCTACATGGGTAGACTTAAGCCAGAGGCATATATCCTGAGAATTAGGGTGAAATCTGGCCTTCAGGTGACCTCCCACTCTCCCAAGATGTAGAGGGGAAGAAAGAAGACCCACAGGCAGAGGAGCAGGGTTAGAATGACCCTTTCTCACCACTCTGGGTGGACTCAACTCATGCCGGCAGAGGAAAAGGAGTCTTTAGGGAGATTTTGGATGACCAGGAGAGGAAGGTTGTCCTAATATCCACAGCCATGAAATCTTAGCAGAGAAGAAAATTCCCTCCCATTAGCAAACCCCAGCAGTTACCACAATAGCAGCCCAGACAGGTATTTCATGCACATTAACTTACTTAAAAAATTTCATACCATTTCAGTTAAGGGTAAAGGAACTGAGACACACAGAGTCTCAGTAATATCTCCAACATTTACAGAGTCTGTAAATAGCTGGGCTGGACCCAGCTAGAGCCAAAGTGAAAGTTTTAACCAATACACCACATCATCCTTGTAAGTATTAAGTGATAGTTGTCTGAAAGGCTGATGCCTCCAGGTGCGGGTTCATCCAAGTCACAACTCAGAAAAACGGTCCTTAGAAGCAAATCCAGCCATGTGCTACATAACAACATTTGTCAATGACAGACTGCATATACCACAGTGGTACCGTAAGATTATAATGAAATTGGAAATTTCTATCACCTAGTAACATCTTGATGATCCTATCCCTGTGTTGGCCTAGAATAATGTGTATGTTTGTATCCTAGTTTTTAACTAAAATGTTTGAAACTTTTTCAAAGTTTTGAAAAATTAAAAATAGAAAAAAAAACTTATAGAATAAGAATATAAATAAAAAATATTTTTATGGCTGTACACTGTGTTTGTTTTAAGCTTTATTACAAGAGTCAAAAAGTTTAAAGATTTTTTTTAAAGCTTATAAAGTAAAAAGTTACAGTAAACAAAGTTTAGTTCATTATTAAAGAAAAAATATTTTTCTATGAACTTAGTGTCACCTAAACGTATAGTGTTTATAAAGTTTACAGTAGTATATAGTAATGCCATCAGTCTTCACATTCACTCACCACTCACTCACTGCCTCACCCAGAGCAACTTTCAGTTCTGTGATCTCCATTCATGGTGAGTACCCTATACAGGTGTATCATTGCATGCCACTTTTGTGTTTTATACTATATTTTTACTGTATCTTTTCTATGTTTAGATACACAAATACTTACCATGATGTCACAACAGCCTACAGTATCCAGTACAGTAACATCCCACACAGGTTTGCAGCCTAGGAGTAGTAGTGTAATGGGACCCCAACACTTAGCCATTGGGTCAGGGTTTCTGCACTATAATCTCTTCTGTAGTTGCCAGGAAGATGTTACAGGACCCCACCACTCACCCAAAGTTAACATTTGGATGGGGGTTTTCCTCATTATGGTCCTTTCTGTGATCAACAGAAAGATGTTACAGGAGAGGGATCCCGATCCAGACCCCAAGAGAGGGTTCTTGGATCTCGTGCAAGAAAGAATTCAGGGAGAGTCCACAAAGTGAAAGCAAGTTTATTTAGTAAAAGATGCTGGGTATGGTGGCTCATGCCTGTAATCCCAGCACTTTGGGATGCCGTGGCAGGCAGATCACGAGGTCAAAAGATTAAGACTATTCTGGCCAACATAGTGAAACCCTATCTCTACTAAAAATACAAAAATTAACTGGGCTTGGTGGCATACAACTGTAGTCCTAGCTACTCGGGAGGCTGAGGCAGGAGAATCACTTGAACCTGGGAGGCAGAGGTTGCGGTAAGCAGAGATCGTGCCACTGCACTCCAGCCTGGCAACAGAGTGAGACTCTGTCTCAAAAAAAAGAAAGTAAAGGAATAAAAGAATGGCTACTCCATAGACAGAGCAGCCCCAAAGGTTGCTGGTTGCCCATTTTTATGGTTATTTCCTGATGATATGATAAACAAGGGGTGGATTGTTCAGGCCTCCCCTTTTTAGACCATATAGGGTAACTTCCTGACCCTGCCATGGAATTTGGAAACTGTCATGGCACCAGTGGGAGTGCAGCAGTGAGGACAACCAGAGGTTGTGGCCACTTTGGTTTGGTGGGTTTTGTCCTTTACTGTAACCTATTTTATCAGCAAGGTCTTTATGACCTGTAATTTGTGCCGACCTCCTATCTCATCCTGTGACTTACAATGCCTCAGATGTCTGGAAATGCAACCCAGTAGGTTTCAGCTTCATTTTACCCAGCTCCGATTTAGGATCGAGTTGCTCTGGTTCATATGCTCCTGACAGAAGGTTATACTGTATAGCATAGGTGTATAGTAAGCTGTACCACACAGCTTTGGGTAAGTTCACTCTGAGGTTCGCACAGTGATGAAATCACCCAGTAATGCATTTCTCAATGTATACCCATCATTAAGCAACACATGACTGATATATTTCTAATCCTGATCTCTTTTCTAACTACCAGACCATGTTTTCAACTAGGTTCTACAAAATATTTTACCAGATCATCTCACCAGCATAGTTAAACGAAAATGTCTAAAGATGAAATTATACTCATTTCTCTTCCTGAATTTTCCATCCTGTTACTATTATTCCTACTCTTTCAGTCATGCTGTCTGGAAATATTAATATCTCCATTTATCCCTCCCACTCCTATTCACTCTACCCCAAATTAATTGTCACATCCTATAGATTTGATTTCTATAGTATCTTTAAAATATGACCCTTCAATTCAATTGCCACAGCTTCAGCTGACAATAGCTATTAACTTTCCAAATGTTTATCCTGCATCACCCTCTCTCAAAGCTACCCAGAATATCTCTATTATATTAGTCTTCCTGGAGCACAATTCTAACAACATTGCTACCCTATTCAATAATAAAACCTTCAATGACACCCTTCACCTCCTGCAGTTGCTTATCAAATTACATGCATTCCCTTGCCTGCCATTTATCTCTAGGACATCTTTCCAAGCCTGTTCTTCTACTGGTCCCCTCCACAAACCCAATGTCTTGGCCTAAATGCATTGTATGTATATTTTATCATATCTTTGTTCAAATACTCTTACCTCATCTTCTACCTTTTGAAGTTTTCCTCATCCTTCCAGGTCCATATCAAAGGAAGCTTCCTGTACTGCCTTCCTTGAGCTCCCCCTGGGAATGCTCTCTCCCTCACCTGAACTCCCACAACCAAAGAACTGATTTTTGACCTTTATTCTGAACTGCTCTTCCTGCTCCCTCCCATAGATACTCCACCAGAGTATCTATGTCACTCTTCAAAAATGCACATCAACCTTGTCCATATCCTTCACACACACACCCCTCTATTCATATATCTTTCTCATGTTTTATCTTACAGGGGTTATAGGATCACAGAAGACAGAGTGGGCAAGAAGAAGTGTATGTCACTCTGGACAGACTTCTAAAGGTTCTTATTCTACTGCCAATCAATCAGATTACTTTTGTTTCTCACTACCACTTTCAGAAATGGTTGCACACCTACCCATCCCATACACAACCAGCAGCACCAGGGTATTTATGTCATCCCTGTGCTCAGAAACCTCAATAATTCCCTCACTTCCATTTAATTCCCAATTTCCAGTGTGTTTCCAGTCCTCTACTGCTTCCCTATCTGTCTCATGTTGTGCTGTTCCCAATTCAATGCTTTCCACTAAGACTTTCCTCTGAAACTATTCTGGCCTTTTCTTCAATCTGAAATGTCTTTATCATGGTCACCTGAGGTATATGTGAATTCCCAATCCTCTAGCACCCCTTTATCTCCTGTTTGAACACCTTTTATGGGATATACCACATACTACCTTGCACCCTAGTTTTTGTGATAAATGTATTATTCCATTACTAAGTTGGAAGCTCCCATGTTATATAATCAAGCTGTCCTCTCTCCCCTGTAGGGCTAATTTTCTATGTCAACTTGGCTAGGCTTTGGATGCCCGGCTGTTTGGTTAAATACTAGTTTAGATGTTACTGTGCAGGCAGACATAATTAGCACTTTTTAGATATAGTTAACATTTACAATCAGTTACTTTTAATTAAAGCAGATCACTCTTCATTATGCAGGTAGGTCTCTGCCAATCAACTAAAGGCCTTAAGAACAAAAACTGGGATTACCCAGGGAAGAAGAAATTCTGCCTCAAAATTTAACATAGAAATCCTGCCTACATTCCTGTCTGCTGGCCTGCCCTACAGATTTTGGACTTCTTATCCCCAGCAGTCATGTGAGCTAATTCCTTTCCTTTAACTCTCTCAATGGATTAATCAATCAGTTGATAGATATAGATATGCACTGGTTCTATTTCTTGGGACACATGATTAGGTCGCATTTAATTTTGTTTTAAAATTAACCAACTCAGATCCCCATTTCCATTTATCTCAATTATGTATTTCCTTCCTCAATACAAAACACACCCCCACCCCTTACCCAATCCCTAGACCACAGAATAAGTCAAGAACTCCAGCAGGCTTGGAAATTGTGCCTATCTTCTGAAATGCTCCATTCTCTGCATCATGGGGCCTCTGTGAAAACAGGCTCTTACCTAGGTATTCCAGCGATCCTGAGCACCCTCTGCTCTCTCCTAGTCATGCTCTGGTGGTGAGGAACCTGCTGCTGTAACAGTACCTCCTGGGGTACAGGGAAGGGCTAGAATAGGTCTCTTATAGCACACCATTGTCAGCCAGGGCCTTAAAACCATAATCCATTGCCTGCCAAGAGGTATTCTCATGCCATCCACATCCTGTGTCTTCTAAGGACACTGCTGGCCCTGGCCACCACTCTAGACTGCCCTTCTCCTTAAAGGGAGTGTCCTCTTGAGGCCTTTATTTATAAACAGCTATCTTCAATCACGATCACTTTAATCCACCAAACATGTTATAGAAAAATGGAACCTCAAATGCAAAAGTGCCAATTCCCTTCCACCAAGAATCCTTCTTGGTCTCTATCCAAATTTGCCTCACTTCTACAAAACTAGAAGGTACCAGCAAGGCTGGTTATTCCCAAAACAAAAAGGTGAGCTCCAAAGTATATTAAGGCTTCGATCTCTAGTACTAGAAGTCACCAATAACTTCATAAAGGCAGATTTTCAGTTTGAGTACCAGGCATGATACTTTCTCGGTTACTTTTCCGGAAATAGATCTTAAATAAACCAGTGCTTTGACAAACCAGTTCCCCTTTGCTTCAAAGAGACTGTCTTTTCCTCTCACTTTGGGAGAAATAAGATCAGGAATTTCTCCTATGTCTGAGGACTGTATTTTATGGCATTTACGTCTAATAAAAGTAAGTTGCCATCTCACATTGGACCTGTAGATGTTGAGTTGTATGTGTTCAAGGCCTTTTGAAAAGCAGGCAAGGAAATCTGGATTTAACCTGATAAACAATGGGGAGCCATTGAACCTGGGTACTTAATTTCAAAATAATAAAAGGCTAATTCTCTGCTTTATCAAGACTACAAATTCAGCATATTATATACAGAGGATTTTTTTAGAGCAAGGGATAACTTTGTTAATTTTATTTTATTTTTTACAAGATGCTGTTGGTAAGCCTTTTATGTCTGCAAAGCAGGATCAGGGTTTCTATAAACTCCTATAAAAAACTGTTCCAGGTTGGAGAATTTTCAAATGTTTCTCATTTTTGCAAATTACATTTCAAAAGAGAAAGCATTTGCATATTCAAGGTGAAATCCCATGGAAAGATGCCTCACGCCCAGTTTTATAGAGTAATTATTTCTACATTTTTGAACTGGCACCACATTCAAAATATGTCAGCTCAAACCACACAATAAACATAGGTATTAATTAGCCAGGCTAATTATCCAGACTTCTTTAGACTAATCAAGTGATGAAACAGCTTCAATCTGTTGGATTTTTCTTGAGCAACTAACAAACATGAACTTGTTATGACTAGTAAATTGCTCAAACACAATTGGAGACTGAGAAAGAGACTGTGTGTTCCCTGGATTCAGGCCTTTTCTCACAAAGCCAGATCCACAGCCAACTCTGCCTCTGAAGATACTTTGAAGAAAGGTTTTCTGTCTCTTTACAGCAGAAAATCAATACCGCACACTGGAGGGGAGGATGGAGAGTTAAAGCGTCCTCTTCACATGGGTGAGTAAACACCACCTCCGTGCTTGGGATGGCGCAGCACAGAACTGCAGGCTGTAAGGCAGGCTCCAAATAAAACCCTTCCCCAGCACAGGGCACTCAGCCCCAGAGCTGGCATAGCGGAGCCCTTCGCCTCATATAATTTCACTTTTGTGCAACTGCAGATCTGTGTGCGCCTGCAAAATTGCATAATTTACCATTTACCCAGCTGTTATTCCAGCAAACCTATTGTTTGCACACCGATTTGCCTGCCTGACTAATAAATCCACAGGAAGGGAGGGGAGAGAGAGGGAAAGTTCTCAGCATCACACCGTGTTCTCAGTGTCTCCTTCATCTCAAGCTGTCTGCCCCTCCCACATTTAGAGAAAATCACAGGTCTCAAAGCTTCAATGAATAGAAGCTTTGCGTGGGTCCTCCTCTCCCCAGTCTTCACCACTTTCTGAAAAAAGATGTATATTTTTCACATCCTTTGTGTCTTAACCTAGTTATGTCTCCCTCTCCTCAGGTCTGAAACAAAGCTTCCATTCCTCTTGGCTTCTCCCCTTGTTGCTCTTACATTTTTCCTAAGATGTCCTGGTATTTCTGGTTTCTCCACACATTGAGTCAGATCTGAGTATGGGTTGCAGAAAGTGTCTACTGTCATTCTGTCATTACCAAATACTAAAGGTAGGCAGGCTCTGCCTACCTTTAGTATTTGGAAAAGACAGCTTTTCACAGCCCACATCCTCAGGCTAGTATTGTTCCGCTACAATGACAATAAAAGATAAGACATTGTTCAAATGTTCTGATGCTGGGAACCATCTAAAAGCAGAGCTTTGAAAATACAAAACATTGCTAGTTCCCAGGGACAAAATTCACATCTTTTTTGTGTGTGTCACCACAAAGCTCTTCAACACCCCTGTAGAAGGGAGCCCTAATTACTTGTGACACTCCAGAGGAGCTGTGAGAAGCACAGAATCAAGCCGGTGCATGATGATGAGGAACTGGGACACTGTGGCCTAAGTGAGTCAGAAGTCAAGAGAAGCTGCTGCGGCCCTTCACGAAAACTCCCCAGCTCTGCTCACAGGGAGCCAGTTCCTTTTTCCTACTGATGTTTTCATTGTTAATTACATCACAACATACAATAATTTCTGAACTATTAATCTCCCTGATATCAAACTACGTGTGTGCTATTTGGGTTATAGTACATAAAGGGAAATGTCTATTGCACAGGCTTATACAATAGACATGTTTTAGGAAACATGAGTGAGTTGTATTTTATAAATCAAATCAAAGCACTTGGAAACGTCATGATTTGAAGACATTTTACTGTATACCTGCTTATAAAATACATAATGTTTCTGATAAATATGGTTTTACTCATGCATTTTTTCAAGTAGGAACGTATTTTCTCATTTAGAAAATGGGCATAGTAGTATATTTTCAAATAGAAAATTGTGAAAATTTTCTTTAGATTTCTGTCCAATCTATTGCAGTGCCTCACTAAGGCCAGATTTTGAATAATCTACAGTTAAATTCTGGAATACCCTCAGGCATAACTTCTGTATCCACACAAGACCTTAAAAAAAATCTATTCAGAAAAAGGCAGCAAGCCTGTGTCAGATGAGAGCAAACATTACACAGCCATCCTAGCAAGACTGTTGCTTCTTGCCCAGAACTGTACCATTTCTTAAGGCAAAATATCAATATGAGGTGATATTGATACCTGAGATACCTGATACTCTTTTTATCCTGATCACTTGGTCACTTAGCAACCTTTCTCTTTCTCTCTCTCTCTCTCTCTCTCTCTCTCCCCCCCCCCCCTGCGCTTTATCTCTCTCCCCCACCCCGCCCTTTCTCTCTCTCATAAATATATATACATATTTTACTTTAATGATGAGTTTCTACATTTAGGGCTTCCTAAAAATGAAACAAGTTTACTTTTGAAATGGAAATTTTTTCTTAGTGAAAATACATATTTAGGTACAGTCTGCATGACAACTAATTAGGTATGTTGGAAGCACCTTAGAGATTGAAGTTTGTACTAATGTGCTGTAAGAGGATTTTTGTGTGTGCATGCACACACACAGTGTTTTAATTTTGCTACAATACTCTTAACATAAAAAATTTCCATTTGTGACATTCAGTACATTTGCAATGTTGTGCAACCATCACCATGATCCAGTTCCAGAAGATTTCATCACCCTAGAAGCAAACCTGTACCCATTAAGCAGCGACTTTCTTATCCTTGCCACTCCAACCTCCATCTCCTGGCAACCACTAACCTGTCTTCTGTCTCTTCTGGATATTTCATGTAAATGGAATCATACAATGTGGTCTTCTGTGTCTGGCTTCATTCACTTAGCCTTAGCAACCTTCTGGGTACAAATCACCTCTAGTGAATTACTTTGAGACCCATCTTTCATTTCCATCCTCTCTCTGCCCTCCTCAGGCCCTCATTGCTTTATTTGTGTTCTGTTTTGTGTGAAAGTGCCAGTCCTGCAGCCACCCACTATAGGACTCCTCAGGGGCCCCACTGACAGGCCTTCTGCCACCACATTCAGTCCTGATTCTGGGGCTGCCCATGGAAGTGAAAGACCAGCAAATTGCCCTCAAACTTCTCCAAGATTTTCATATTTTAAAATAAAATGTGAAAGGCACTTTTTCCCTTCCTGACAAATGTAAGTGACAGTTAACTGGTAACAGAAAATCTCCCCTGAAGTGTCACAACGTGCTTATACTTAACAGAGCCACCCTTTAGATCCACACTACAAATTGGCTCCAAGATGAACAAAGAGCTGACATTGCTCACCTCAGCCCAGGTATTCATCCATACACACAGTATGATCGCATCTGCATTTTCTTTTTGTTAACAGCAGCAACTTAAGGAAGAGCAGACTATGGTGTGGCTGAGAGAGCACTGGACTCCATGTGAGAAGATATTGCTGCTATTTACTATTGACGCAACCATGGGTGAGTCACGGAGGAACCTGAGCCTTGGGTTTAAAAGGAGGGTCAGGCTGGGCTTGATTACTTATGCCCGTAATCTCAGCCCTTTGAGATGCCAAAGTGGACAGATCACCTGAGGTCAGGAGGTCGAGACCAGCCTGGCCAACATGATGAAACCCTGTCTGTAATAAAAATGCAAAATTAGCTGAGTTCTATGGCCTGCACTTATAATACCAGCTATTCAGGAGGCTGAGACAAGAGAATCACTTGAACTCAAGAGGCAGATGTTGCAGTGAGCCAAGATCACGCCATCGCACTCTAGTCTGAGTTTAAAAAAAAAAAAAAAAAAAAACCTCCATCACAAAAAAATAAATAAAAATAGTAAATAAATAAATAAATAAATGGTCATTTTAAACCATGGCTAACTTTACCACAGAAGCCAAGAAAACTTATGCAAAAGCTCTTTGTAAACCGTGACGATGTTCCCCAAATGTAAATGTCATGTTATAGACTGAATCATGCCTCATCAAAATTCATATGCTGAAGCCCTTAACCCCAGTATGATGCCAGTTGGAGAGAGGGCCTGTAAGGAGGTGATCAGTGTTAAATGAGGTCATAAGGGTGCCGCCCTTATCCAACAGGACTGGTATCCTTATAAGAAAGATGCCTGCCATTTCTATGTTATCTGCCCCTCCTCATCTGGAAAAGAAGTTCAGGTATCCCTTCTTCCAGGAAGCCTTCTGTGATCCCCCTAAACTTGGCTGGAACTCCTGTTTTGGCATCTAGGGTACTATGTATTGATCTTGTTCCACAGGTAGCATGTTATGCTATAATAATCTGATAACAGTTTGACCTCTACCTCCTTTCCTCCAGACATGACCCTCTCCAGGGCCAGGACCACTTAACCTGCATCTCAGCCTCCCCTAGGGGCAGCCAAGACCTGGCAATAAAAGTCACTTCATGAATTGTCTGGGAAGAATTCCTAGAAGACTACAATGGGAAGAAAGAATATAGTTTAACATTTTTGAGAGATAAAGATCATGATTTTATTTTCAACCACTTTAGTCAGGCATTGTCAGATGTTAGTCTGATGCTGAAGCTGGAAAAATGCGGGGAATGTTCTGGTGTAGCCCTCTTTATTTGGCCATAGAAGACACTAAATCCCAGAGAGGAAATGGGCATGGATGTTCATAGATACCCACTGTATCACACAAAGTCCCAGCAGAAATAGGAAGCATACTTAAGATAATTCCAGAGGATATGTTTGTTTTTACAAAAGCACTATTACCAAAGTAGGGCTGAAGTATAGGCGAACCAGCAGAGATAATATGACAACCTGAAGTGGAGCTGTTAACCATCCTAGGGATAGGATGACCAACTTATCCCCATTTGCCTGGGACTTCCAATTTATTTATTTAAACTTTTTAGAGACAGGGTCTTTCTCTAAGACTGAGGCTGGAGTGCAGCAGCACAACCACAGTTCGCTGTAGCCTCGGACTCCTAGTCTCAAGCAATCCTCCCACCTCAGCCCCCTGAGTGGCTGGGACTGCAGGCACACGCCACCATGACCAGCTACTTATTATTTTAAAATTTTTTTTTGTAGAGATGGGGGTCTCACTTTTTTGTCCAGGCAGTCTTGAACTACTGGCCTGAAGCAATCTTCCCACCTCAGTCTCCCAAAGTGTTGAGATTACAGATGGGAGCCACTATACCTGGCTGATTTCTCAGTTTTACAACTCAAAGTCCTAGGTCCTGGGAATAATCTTAGTTCCAGCAAACCAAGAAAACTGATCACCCTACCTGGGGTTGAGGTAGGAAGGAATAAGGATGATTATTAAAACCTGAAAGGAAAGACAGTCCCTTTAAAGGAAGCAGTGATCTTCAGATAAGGCCATATTTAACCAAAGGGACCTCACAGAGAGGAAATCAGAGGAAACAGAAACCTCTCCTTCCTCATTCTAAACTCCTGCCAAAGCTCCCCATAGGACCCCTCCCCCACACCCCTCCATGAGCCAAAGACCACCAGAAGCTTGCTCCACAGAGGGCAGAAAAGGGTGGAGGGTGCACCTGGAGCAGTAAACAGAGCACCTAGCCCAGACACAGACACATGGAAGAGTCTGGGCGAAGATACCCAGTGTCCTGCCCAGCACAGACCTCACAAGTCAAACTGCAGGTAACAAGGTGGAGTTATTCAAATCTTCCCCAAGATTTCCAAGCATTTCCAACAAAAAAAGGGCTGGGAGAGAAGAGTGTGTTTAAGTTCTTCTGCTCACCTGTGGCTCCCATCTCTTCTCTACACCATACCTTGGCAACCCATGGGTGCTATCTTGGTCTGTAGCACATAGGTCCAGATGTAAGATGCGGTTCCTTCCTCAAATTCCACATGCAAAAAAATCCACTCACAAAAGGCAATTTTTGTGCTTATCAGATCATATTGGAGATTTGAAGGGAGACCAAAGAAGAGTTCACATGACAAAGAACTTCAAATGGAACAAGACACCCATGTGCTTGGAAGTCCTCAGCCTCTCCACCACCCAAATGCTTCAAGGGCTATCTCTTGCTCTATAGACCTCTCCCAACCCAAAGCACATCTCACGTCTTTATACCTCTCCTCTCCTTCTCTCTCTCCTTTCATAGCCTCCTCCAACACGACCAAAAATAAAATACCTCTTAGGCTGAGCAGTTTGCTGTTTCCTACTGGGTTTCTGCAGGACCAGCCAACATCCAAGCCTTGGAGTCTCACCATCTTCCCCAAAAGACATCCTAGAAGGCTTTGCCTACCAGAGCCAGCTCCGTCTCTGCAATGAATTCTGCTACCAGCTGTTAGTTGAGATGTTTTTCACCCCCTTCTGTATATTATTCCAGGGAAAGCAGTTGATTGCGGTGTAATCCTTTGAGAAGTTTATTAATTAACTTGCATAAAAGCCTGTATCACTGGCTTTCCTGTCTCATGGAATTCAATTCTTCCTCTGAACATGTCACAGTGCATTACCCTGCTCAGAGTTAGCATATTTGAACATCTTGTAGTTGCTCAAGTAGCACAGCCATGGCATATTGAGCTCATCTTTTTCTTTCAAAGGCTGATTCCCGCAGCTTAGGCTCTCAGCTCTTTAAAATTACATTGAGATGAATCTTGCTGCACACAAGCTGTCGGCCTAAATGTAATTTTGGTTTCCAAATCCTATAAGGTCCTATATCTTAAACACTTATATTCAAAACGCCATCTACACATCTGAGCCTTTTACCAACTTTACATTTGTCCTTAATTTAACTGCAGTTGTGAACAAAAGGCCAAGTCCCTTCAAATATCTTCCGAATGTTAGGAAGAGGCTTTACTTCAAATACTGCTGGCCTTGATGTAGAAAACCAAAGGGAAGTGGATGAACCTGGCTCAAAGAGCTGGGGAACAGCTGCCTGTTTATGTTGTTTCTTTTGAAGATAATAAGACAGTGATCTCTATGGTACTCACTAACAGCTTGGCTTCAAGGTAGAGAAGGATCTAAGGGAGACTCTAGAGTTAAAGGGCAGGGGACAAATTAAATTGTTATTATGTTATTTAAATCATAGAGTATGGAACTTCAGAGCTTCTGCCTTGTTTTACCTTAATCCAGACTTAAACGTTATGTAGGGAGGATCCAAGATGGCTGAATAGGAACAGCTCTGGATTGCAGTTCCCAGTGCAAACACAGAGGGTGAGTGATCACTGCATTTCCAAATGAATTTTTACTGTCCACAGACCAGGAGATTCCCAGACAGAAAAGCACCATGAGTCTCCAGAGCAGCTGTTTCAGCCAGTGCAGCAGGTCTCCGCACAAAAACTCACACAAATCCAGGCACTGTTTCAACTGGTGACTGGAACACCTGGGAGATGGAGTCACCGGTTCAACTGAAAAAAAGGAGGCTAAAACAGGGAGCCAAGTGATCTGGTTCAGCTGCTCCCACCCCCACAAAGACCAGAAATCTGAAACGCTCTGGATTGAGAGTTTCACAGCAAGCACACTGGACCCGAGACAGTCCAGCTCTGTGGGGGAAAGGGTGTCCGCCATTACCGATGCAGTTCTAACTATACCCCTATAAACAGAACTGCAGGAAGTTCACACAGCAGCTGGGCAGAGCCCATGGCAGTTCGGCAATGCCTCTGCTTGCAAACTGTGACTAGGCTACCTTCTCACTGGGCAGGGCATCTCTGAAAAAAGGCAGCAGAATGACAGGAACTTATAAATAAAGCCCCACCTTCCTGGGACAGAGAACCTGGGGGAAAAAGGCAGTTATGAGTTCTGCTGCAGCAGACTTAAACGTACCTGCCCAGCAGCTCTGAATGGAACAATAGGGCTCACAGCTCAGCACTTGAGCTCCTGTAAGGGACAGACTGTCTCCTCAAGCAGCTCCCTGACCCCCATATAATAAAAGAAACACCTCATAAAGGAGAGCTCAGGCCGATATTTGGCAGATATCCTTCTGGGACAAAGATAACAGAAGAAGAAACTGGCAGCAACCCTTACAGTTCTGCAGCCACTGCAGGTGATCCCCAGGCAAGCAGAGTCTGAAGTGGACCTCCAGCAGTCCTACAACAGGTGGGCCTGACTGTTAGAAGGAAAACTAAGAAAAAGAAAGAAATAACTTCATCAGCAACAAAAAGGATGTCCACTCAGAGACCCCATCTGAAAGTCACCAACCACAAAGACCACAGGTAAATAAATCCACAAATATGGAAAGAAACCAGTGCGAAAAGGATGAAAATACCCAAAACCAGAATGGCTCTCCTCCTCCAAGGGATCACAACTCCTCACCAGCAAGGGAAGAAGGCTGGATGGAGAATAAGTCTGATGAATTGACAGGGACAGGCTTCAGATGGTGGGTAATAACAAACTTCTCTGAGCTAAAAGAACATGTTCTAACCCAGTGCAAAAAAACTAAGAACCTTGAAAAAAGGTTTGATGAAATGCTGACAAGAATAAACAGCTTAGAGAGGAATATAAATGAATTGATGGAGCTGAAAAACACAACACGAGAACTTTGTGAAGCACACACAAGTTTCAACAGCCAAATCAACCAAGCAGAAGAAAGTATATCAGAGACTGAAGATCAACTCAATGAAATAAAACAAGAAGGCAAGATTAGAGAAAAAAAAGTAAAAAGAAATGAACAAAGCCTCCAAGAAATATGGGATTATGTGAAAAGACCTAATATGTTTAATAGATGTACCTGAATGTAAGGGAGAGAATGAATCCAAGTTGGAAAACACTCTTCAGGATATTATCCAGGACAACTTCCCCAGCCTAGCAAGGCAAGCCAACATTCAAGTCCAGGAAATACAGAGAACACCACAAAGATATTCCTCAAGAAGAGCAACCCCAAGGCACATAATCATCAAATTCACCAGGGTTGGAATGAAGGAAAAAATGCTAAGGACAGCCAAAGAGAAAGTCGGGTTACCTACAAAGGGAAGCCCAACAGACTCACAGTGGATCTCTCAGCAGAAATCCTACAAGCCAGAATAGAGTGGGGGACAATATTCAACATCCTTAAAGGAAAGAACTTTCAACCTAGAATTTCATATCCAGTCAAACTAAGATTCATAAGCCAAAGAGAAATAAAATCCTTTTTTTTTTTTTTTTTTTTTTTTGAGACGGAATCTTGCTCTGTCACCCAGGCAAGGGGCAGTGGTGCAATCTTGGCTCACTGCAACCTCCACCTTCCAAGTTCAAACAATTCACCTGTCTCAGCCTCACAAGTAGTTGGGACTGCAGGAATGTGCTACCACATCTGGCTAATTTTTGCATTTTTAGTAGAGGCGGGGTTTCACCATGTTGGCCAGGATGGTCTCAATCTCTTGACCTCATGATCTGCCCACCTTGGCCTCCCAAAATGCTGGGATTATAGGCGTGAGCCACTGCACCCGGTCAATAAAATCCTTTACGAACAAGCAATTGCTGAGAGATTTCGTCACCACCAGGCCTGCTTTACAAGAGCTCATGAAAGAAGCACTAAACATAGAAGGAACAACCAGTACCAGCCACTCCAAAAACATATCAAATGGTAAAGAGCATCAATACAATGAAGACATTGCATCAACTAATGGGCAAAACAACCAGCTAGCATCAAAATGGCAGGATCAAATTCACATATAACAATATCAACCATAAACGTAAATTGGCTAAATGTCCCATTTAAAAGACACAGACTGGCAAATTGGATAAAAAGTCAAAACCCATGGTTATGCTGTATCCAGGAAACCCATCGTACATGCAAGGATACACATAGGCTCAAAATAAAGGGATGGAGGAAGATTTAAAAAGCAAATGGAGAGCAAAAAATAAAAAACAGGAGTTGCAATCCTAGTCTCTGATCAAATAGACTTTAAACCAACAAAGATCAAAAGAGACAAAGAAGAACATTACATAATGGTAAAAGGATCAATGTAACAAGGAGAGCTAATGATTCTAAATACATACGCACCTAATACTGGAGCA